TATCAGTTCTGATAAGTTACGCACCTGTTATTATTATAATAATAAATTAAAATTACGAGTATATCGCATTTAAACTTTATTCATTTTTATTTTCGAATTTTAAAATTTAGAATTACATTTAGAATTTAAATTGTGATAATTAGGATATATAATTGATGATTATATATTAATAGATGATAATTTGAATCATATTATAGCAAGATTTTGTATAATATAATTAAATATATTAGTTATTCTTTGTTAGAAAATTTGAAAATCACGAATTCCCAACAAATATTGACATAAATATACACATATCTTTTTCAATTAAAATGTTACAAAATTCCACATTTTTCAATTATATATAAAATCGATATCATTCATATATATAAAATACGAATATGGATAAAATCGTGTGATTCTTCGATACGAGACATATATAGAAAATATATTGGTTAATAAATACGGTTCTCATGAAAATATTGTCGTACCGATACCGAGGAGCTAACTCTTTGAAGGGTGCGAACGCGGGCTAGAAAACTCGTGACATGGGCAGCTGTTCGAATTACATTGAGCTCGCCCCTGGCGCGTGGACGGTTTATTGACACACTCTCCAGGCGACCGCGTATTATTACCAGCGTCGTGCATTTACCACGAAATATATGGCTCGTTTTTCAAGAAAGAAAGCGACCGGTGGAGCATCGAGACGAATCTCGGTTCTATGGACTACTAGAGAGAGAAAATCAACAATGCTTTTACCTTTCGTAGCGTTCTCTCTATTCTTCGCGCGATCCTTCTTTTACATCGGGCAACATCGATTCTTTAAAATATAGATATTCGAAAACGTATATACGATGTTCCTTTAAATGACAGTTTAAGATATTTTTCAAGGGATTCGAATATCAAAAGTGAATTCGTTAATTCTCTATGAAATTTTGAATCTCTAAAATTCGAATGATACGAGAGATAATCGATAACCTCGATGAATCGAACGAAAGATGAGATTGTGAATGTTGATTTATCAAGCGATTATCGTTCATTTTGTAATTGGCATTCGTCGAACGATGTTTGTCGAAAGATACCTTATACATCTTTGAAAAAGCTTATTGTAATTGTTAAATACAAAATTAATATCTCGAACGAGTGGTACAATGTGAAACAAAGACGAAAGAAAGAAAGGGATGCGATATATAGAGACATGCTTACATCAGGTCACACGCATATGCTTTTGACGTTTCGCGTCCGGGTAGCGTCCGCGAAGAATTTCTTCACTAATATTTAGATTATCGATGGTAATTACTACAGCGGCGTTCCATGATGTTAAATGTTATGAAAATTTTTTATGATACATTCGTTCTTTGTGAACGAATAAGAACTTGATTGACAGAGGAAAAAAGAACAACGATCACGGAGACCGGGTTCCGTCGTTGTTACAGAACATCGTATTCGTTCTCTTTCATCGTAGGTCATAGTATAAGTATCACTTACCTGCATGCTTCTCCGACTTCGGCATGGAGGCCATAGCTAGCCGATAGTATGTCCTCTCGAACCACGACACTATCTCACTATTTCTACGAAAGACCGCATCGTAAACTACACACCAGTGGCTGCCGCGGCGTTTTCAGTCTGATGTAAACCCGACGTGCACCGCTACATCTTCGTTTGTCAGCCATCTTTCGGGGCGCGAGCGCGCGAACCGCCATCACGCGGCCAGAATTTGAACATAGTCAGCATCAGTCCAACATGGCCGACGGACTGTCATTCGGGTGACATTTCATTCAATTTTCGATTCAAAAAGGATGCTCCTGAACGATTTTTACGAACGAAACATGTTCCACGGCTATTTTTACATAAAAGTGTAAACGATATTGATTAATTTGCAACGATTGACACCATAAATATTGCCGTGTGAAAATTAATCGAAAGAGTGGCGACGCAACAACTGGCTTTGCTACGTTGATACAGTGGCACGCAAAAATCATTGTCCACCGATGATTGAATATAATCTGTAACAAAGTATAGTTCAATGTGTTTACATTATTATGAAAAAGTGTGAGTACCGAGCATCGATTGAAAATGTATAGTAAAAAATTATGTGAATTTTCTATAAATTAAATGATCGTTTAAAAAATAATTAAAAAATAAAATATTTGACAAAAATTATATTTCTGCTTCTCAAGAATTAATAAGCATATTGACATAATTCACTTAAAAAGTGTAATATATAAAATATTTAGAAATAAGCATATGGGTTTATCTTGTTTTATGTCAACGAAAAATGGGAAACTCTGGTTTAAAACAGCATTACGAGACTGCAAAGAAAACCGGAACATTAAAATTGTCACGAAGAAAACTCCACGAATTTCCACAAAATTTATTAGCTTTGGCACCGTTGCTACGTACATTGGATTTATCGGAAAACGAATTTGTTCATATTCCCGATAATATTGGTAATTTTACATTATTAAAGTTATTGAATGTTAATCATAATAAATTGACAACTTTACCCGAAGCACTTGGAGCATTAACAAAATTAGAATGTTTAAATGCAAGCTCGAATCAAATAAAAACTATCCCATGGTCTTTGTCAAAATTAACACGATTGAAACAAGTCAACTTATCTGACAATCGTATAACCGAATTTCCTCCTATGTTTTGTGACTTAAAATTTCTGGATGTGTTAGATTTATCGAAGAATCGAATTACGACAATCCCTGATGCGGCTGGAGCGTTACATATAGTTGAACTTAACCTCAATCAAAATCAGATATCAACTATATCTGAGAAATTGGCGGAATGTTCGCGCCTAAAAACATTAAGACTTGAAGAAAATTGTTTACAACTGAATGCAATACCTATTAAAATTTTGAAAAATTCTAAAATTTCAGTCCTGTCTGTCGAAGGAAATTTATTTGAAATGAAACAATTTGCTAATCTTGATGGTTATGATAACTATATGGAAAGATATACTGCTGTAAAGAAAAAACTCTTTTAAGATATATTTTAATGAATATTTATTACTAAATCTATTATAGGTAATTATTATACGTATAATTATTTTATAACATTGAAAAAGATGCCGCATCGTGTTCGCGTAATTATACTCGATACCTGCGATAATATAATATAGAAATAAAATTTTCAAATTAATTGATAATAATGTTTTTAATAATGTGAATGCTTATACAAAAAAACACTTTTCTACAAAGCGTTCGTTAAATGAGCACGATAAACTATATAGAGTCTATATATGAAACCATTGATCTAATGCAGTATTTATACTAGATTATAATTTTTATTACACGAATTATAAAATGATGTCCTGATATTTCGAATTACACTGCAATTCTTATAAAAATGTTCTTATACGCAACAATTACGTTCTTATACAATTTATGCATCATTAAGATGTATAGATAAAATGTATTAAATAATAAAATATGTTTTGTAAAAATCTTTTGTTATTTTTTTTTTTTTATATATATTTTTTTTTTATCTTCATTACATACAAATTAAGATAAAAACGTAACATTTTTTTAAATTTCTTTATATATTACAAAATATAAATAATTAAAATTGTATGAAATATTTTCAAAATTATCGTAACCATTTATTATAAATATGCAAAATTATATCGTACAATTAAAAAATATTATAGATTAAATTTTGTAAAAATAAATTTCAAATTTATTTTTAATATATAATATTTTTATTCATTTCTTAATAATTTTTATCATAATTGTAATATATATAACTGGATGTATGCAAGCAAAATTATCTTACCATTGTAAGTGAAAAACAAATGATCTTTTGCATCCCAAAATGGCGTGTCTGGTCTTTACTTTCTCAACAGGAAGAGCTGCTGAAATTAAATAAAAAAAAATCGACAGGTGAGTTACGGGCAGTAAAAAAAGTTACATGTTTCAACTTCCAAGTTAGCAACCCTTCACTTGCGAATACGTGAGTAGCTTAACTATTACTTTGTTAGGTATAAGAGATTTGTATTCCACTCTTTTGCCGACTGAACAATTACAGCTAATTTTAGAGTGTATTCAATATTCGATGATCAGTTAATATATGAATAACCAATGATCAGAAGCTTATATTGTTTTTATGTACCTATTTTGTATAATTGTTTAAAATTATGTTATTAAAGTCACATTATTTATACGTAAACAATATATGAAATCATTTTATGAATTTATATTTTGTTTGCAAATTAATCACGGAAAGTAATTACAATTATAAAATTTAAAATAATTGATTATAGCATATAAAAATAATATTTTTTTCAATAAATCATTATATTTATTAGCAACAATATTTTTTTTTTATACACTTTAAGATCTGTTTTAGATTATTTAAAGCGTAACAAAACTTATCCAGATCTAGGGTACAGACGACAAGAATCTTATGTATGGAAGATATACTACTCTAATTGTTGAAACATCTAAAGATATTAAGTGTATAACCAATTCTAAAATTCTTGACATTTTAAATTATAACCACAATCATTTATAATTATAATAGTATAACAAAATCTTTATCAACACTGTCATCAATTGTTTATATTATACTTGCACCACAATAGAACGTCCAACTAACGACCATGATCGTACATCAAGATTTAAATGCCCTGCACCATGTTGATCATAAATTTTTACGTATACATCGTACACAATATATAGCTTATAATATAGAAGTAATTAAAAAAAAAGAACATATATGATTCTTTTTATTCATAATTCGTTCAATTTATTTCTTTTATTTAAAAATAATGTTTTTTAAAAATATTTTGTATAGTTATTTAAATATCTCGATTAACGGAACGCATATGAGGTTATAATACCTATGAAATGTAATTTTAGAAGTAAGATTCATATTGTTAATGAACTGTTTTCAATAATCTTATAATGCTCCGGCAACAGTATTATACTTTCTAAACAAAACTAATAAGTGTAACGCGAGAAATGGGCGTCCCTGTTTCGTTAGACATCCCTACGGGGAGCACTGCCACCACAGTAGCTTAGTTGACCATCGTAGTTTCTAGCAAGTGTTTCCCCGAACATGGCGGACGGTGCTTATTCGAATTTTCAAGGGACACAATGAAAGTGCACCGAGTTCGCGGCGGTGATGTCCGTGACTAAGGGCGTGTGGTAATCCTGAGGGTGGCCGACGTGGGTATCCGGACGCCGCTGTGATCGTTACGGTTGCATGCGTGCCGGCGTGTCGCCATCCTGACTTCACGAGATAGGGTTTTGCCGCGCCGCGATTGTGTGTCTCAGAGCTACCGACCGTGGCGGGGCCCCCATGGTTGTAAATGGCTGACGGGAATCGGAAAATGAGGGCCGAACATCGCGCGTGATTCCACAGCTAAGACGCTGAGGTACGACATACAAAAGGTGTTCAGAGATCGAACGATATTCGCGCGGTCTTCTGTCCTAAAAACACCACCACCGGGTCCAAGCACCGCCCGGTGCTAGGAGCTGTCCCGGGGGTTGTTCGTGTCTATCGTATCACCAGTGTCTTCGTCAATTGATCGGTTTTTAGGTCTTTCCTATTTTCTTGATCAGCAGAAAGTTTGATTTCACATTGCATACTTGTCATCGATGATAAAAAAGTTCTCGAAAGTGTAGCCGCTCGTGCGCGACGTTTCGTCTTGTTTAGAACAGCATTTGTAGGTGCTCTCGTTCGTTAACGAGAGCGAGAGCGCGCGGACTGGTTTTTAATGAGATGCCGATCATATGGTCGTTATTTCTTTCGCAGGTATTTTTTTGCGATACTTTTTTGATTCTTGTAACGTACTTATCGCCACTTGTAATGGACACGTACAATAAATGAATGATTTGGCGGACGACCATCTATTTTACACATTTGCGTGGACCAAGCATTATGTGTACGTGCATGTAAGATTTGCTTTCCTTTCGGATTTCAACAAAACATTTTAAAGAGAAGATTCTGTACTAACTAAGATTCTGTGGTTATATTCGAAATGTTAACTATTTTCTTGATTAGTAGTTATTATTCTTAAAAAATTATTAAATCTTTTTTATTTTCATAAGACCTATTTTATAAGAGATTAATTGTCATTTTGTATTTTATAATTACAGTATTAAAAAATAATTTAACACATAAATATATGTAATGGTTATAACTAACATTATAAATATTCTTCTTGTTAATATTATTATTTAGCCTCAAAACAAAATAATATATTTTTTATATATATTCACTTTTTATTGATTAGAATATATATAAATAAAATATTAGTTTAAAAACCTAATAAGTTTATAATATTTTTGAAAACAATGGTTTTAAAATATTTCTAATGAAATTATCTATAATATCTCAATCAAGTTAAATAACTTTTTTTTAATTATTATTATTTAGATTTGATTTGATTTGATAACTATTGCAATATGTTAAAATATATTTCTATTGTTTTGTATGACTATAGAAACAGGGTAGAAAATGTCAGAGCCAGAAGAAAGTCTGGCAGCGCCGGATAGTACTACGAGGGAACAGAAATTGGGTTTCTCTCATGGGGATGATGTTCTTCTACAACACAAGGATGGAAAATTTTATCTTGGAACAATTGTTGAGGTATATTTGTGTAACATTTTTCTATTATTAATTGATTTTTTTTATGTCTTTTAATAAAACATGATTACATTGTGTTTCGCTGTTAGATTTATCATAGTTAGAAGTTTGACTATATTAAACACCTTATATATAGGTGGATTTGGCAAGGGAGAAATGCCTTGTCAAATTTATGGACAACACCTCCGCATGGTCCTCTGTTAAGGAGCTGACAAAGCTTTCAATGCCAGATTCTGATGTTATGTGCGTTCTTTGTAAAAAATCTCAGCCCAAGACTGATAATGACATTATAGTTTGTGACAAATGTGGTCGTGGTTATCATCAACTTTGTCATCAGGTAATAATATACAATTTGTATCTATACAAAAAAAATTCATATAATTATATGTTGTTAACATATAATTACATGAATTATATGAATACAACAAATTGTAAAATTATTATAAAAAAATATATATCCTTACAGCCTCAGATATTAAAAGAAGAAACTGCAGCTGAGGCACATTGGATGTGTAAAAGATGTATAGATAGTCAACCAAGGACACGTGAAGTTATAGAACCAAAAACTTCTATGGTAAAGGCAAGTATCAGAAAAGTTTGCAGTGGTAGGGACCAACCTCAGCCACCACCAGATGATATGACAAAGTTGCCGTATGATGTAAGTATCTAAAATATATTCTTTTATAGTATTAATATTATTATAGTATTTGATATAATTGAGTAGTATAATATATAATAATATAATAGTATAATAGTATAATTGAGTAGTTGAGTATAATTGAGTAATAACTAATTTTTTTTTTCTTTTAATCATATTAAAATATTTTATTTTATTAAAAAATGTATTGAAATACTCATAAAATTTATAGTTAATATTTATTACAGCCTAATATGTTAAATTGGGATGTGCATCATAGAGTAAATGCAGAACAAATTTATTGTTATTGTGGACTTAATGGTGAATGGTATACACAAATGTTGCAATGTGCTCGTTGCAAGCAATGGTTTCATGAAAAATGTGTTAGTTGCCTAACTTATCCTTTATACAGTGGAGATAGGTAAGATTAGATTATATAATCTTAAGATAGTAATTTTTTTTATTCCCTTTAAAATTTCTAAAATGTGTTTCATAATTGATATTATTTACAGATTTTACGTATTTGTTTGTTCAATGTGCAATTATGGCAAAGAATTCGTACGGCGACTGGAATTGAAATGGGTAGATCTGGTGCACCTGATGTTGTACAATTTGACTGTTTACAATGCTAAAAAGTATTATGATTTGGACACTGTTATTGTACCTTATGCCAATGATAATTGGAATACTTTACAGCTTCCACCTCGGGTAAGAAGTTTTAATAAATTTTTAAAATATGAAGTTTAAAATATTTTTATTTTTCTTTAAAAATAGTTAAAAATAGATTATTTATAAATATATATAAATGTATTTCTTACTATCAGATCAGGGATGTCAGTGCTCAAATACGCAGAGAATCTATACTAGGGATATTGACAAATAATAGAAACAGGTTCAAATGCGGCAGAGAAATAAAAAAACGTACTACGATATGGGGTCTTAGAGTTAGATTACCACCACCATGTCCAATTGTTAATCTTCCAGCAACTGGTGTAATAGATGATTCTGTGTTACGTAGATGCTGGGGTGCTAATAAAAGACTGCAATATCTTCCTCCACCTACAGGGTTAGTTATTTAATTGCTCGAAACACGTGCTTTAATTATTTATTGATCAGCAGGATCTTAAAAAGAAATCTTATTGTTTCAGACCGATATCTTTACCAGAAAGTACAAAACAATTAACTGCATTAAAACAAAGCACAGCAGAAAATTTAGAAATTCCAGTGAATCCATCGGATGTAGTGATGCGTGGAACAATTTATCAAAACTCGGAAGCGGAACAAAGTTCGTGTCCAAGTCCAAGTCCACCGAGTCAATCTACACAATCTTTACGAGAAAGGTAGATTCTCTTAATTTAATTTATTGAAAAAGCATTAAAACACTTTGATAAAACAAGTTTCGAGTTATTATTTTTTTTATTTCTTATAGGTATAGTGGAGGTGGCTTTGTAAAGAAATCATTCCCATTTCCTAAACTCAGTTTACAAAGAAGAAGACGTTTAATGGCGTTAGGAAGTTCTCGTGAAAGAATGTTACGTAAACATAAGAAAAGAGAAAAAGGTGATGCTGCCTTGAGTAAGGCTCAAGGTGTTCGAGAAGCTAGATATAGAAAAGCAAGGAAACTGCTAAAAAATGCTATAGCTAAGGTATCATACATAATAAATGTAATAAATATGGTATCACATATATAATATTAGATTCATGTAACAAAAACAATAAAAATTTAAATGTTCATTAAAATAGAGCAAATCTCGAAACTCGGAAACATCTGATCTACCACCTACACCTCCAACTTCAGTTTCTGGTCCACCTACACCCCCTGCTACAACCTCGGGTATATCTGAATTATCTGTGCCTAGTTCTGTGGAATTGATGTATCCTTTACCACCATCGACGCCTGCGGATACAAGTGGGGATGAAACTAGTTCAAGAGGGACTTTGGACTCCTTTATTCCACCACCCAAGGATTTTGAAGGCAAGAATAATCCTTTTAGAAATCTCAGTGATTTATTGGGTACACCCGGTAATCTCAATCAAACAAATTCAAGTACCCCGTCACCGTACAATCAATGTCCAATCACATTACCTCTACCGCTTACTCCTGTTATATCTCAACCGCCGGTAGTACGGCCAGCCAAAAGACAATTATCGGAAAAAGACATTATTATAGACAGAAATGGGCAAGTAAAACGTAGACGTCAACATCGGAGAGGACGTCCGTCGCAACAACAAATACAACAACAATATCAACATACTGCCAGTAAGACGGCAACCATCTTACCGGCGCGTAATAACGAAGTTAAAAGTGAGTTTGCAAGGAATTTAAGAAGTTCGTTTAACGGTGCCTCAAGCAGTGCTAGTAGTCAAATTGGAAATTGTGTTGATTATGCCTTAAATGGAAGGAGACTTAGACAACGTCAAAGCAATGACAAATTACCACCCCCGGATCCGCAACCGCAAAAGAAAGGTAGTGTACCTTCATCTCCAAAGTGTTCACCCGTTAAACAAAGTGCGCCCGACATATCTCTGGATGATCTAAAGTCATCGGTGAACATATATTTTGGAGCAGCTAATAGAATCGCTGCTGGTGAAAAGTTCGTCATCAGAGCAAAAAGGATAGGACCAAACGGTCAGACTCAATACCTAATCGAGTGGGAGGGACTTAACACTTAACAATAAATAATTTGTTTATGATTATAAATGCATTGCAATCATATAAAATTTTCGTTACATCGTCGAGCAAGGGCAGCGTTAAATTGTTGCTCGATCATTTTCAAAAGGCTCGCTCGATGTGTGTAAGAGAAATGATTAGTGGCAAATTGATCTGTGTCACATGCACTGCCATTCGTTACATATTTTTATGTAATAAGTATGTATTATTAATTGGTGTACGATGTGTGACTGTTCTTGCAAATGTAAATTTTATTTTATTCGTTCAACAGATCGAGTCTTATGAAGACACTGTTCCAAACAACAATAACAATGAATTCATTGCTGGACAATGAATTTGTTTTGCAGCTTATTCAAAATAAAATATCGATTCACATTTTTCTTTTATTATCCGTATAAAAAGCGTGAATTTTCTATTCGATTCAGATTTTTATATTTAAAATGTACCGTCCATGATTAGCTTCGATGCATAAAATTCAACGTTTGTATATCTATTTTAATACAAAGGCAAATAAAAAATGCACGTATAAGAAAACATTTACAAGAACAATCAGATACATTGCTTTATAAATTGTATATATTGTAGCATAGTAGTTTCGCAAAAAAATCGACGAATGTAAAGCAAAGAGAATCATTTGCGCTGGATTTTGCATTCATTAGAGATTGGCCAATCGCTCCTTTTTTTATGAGTTACGGAGCAGACCATGATCCCGATGACAAGAAGGAAAGAGAAAAAAAAAAAGAAAAAAAAAAAAAGCGAATTGAAAAACTGACAATTGTTCCTCTCACTTGATCTAACATACTAGCGACCGTTAGTGGTTAGTATTTAAAGAATAAAAGAAAAATATGGAATAAAAAGAAAAAGCAGACATCCTGCAAAAGGTTATTTTTCAATACAATCGTAGAGATAGACATCCGCTTCTGTAACTTCATCTTCTTGAACTGTTGTCTACATCTTCTATCCATATGACAATATAAATAAAATCAAAATCATTAATTAATAACACATAATCATACTGCCACACTTGCACCAATTTGTCTTTTATAGTTAAATTTTACGCTCGAATACATAATGTTTAATAATAAATATAGTCGTTAACAATGCAATTATTCATTGCAATACGAATGAAATTAGAAAAGAATTTTTATTTTTCATATACGGTTCAAGATGATGAGGATGCGGTTCTAGCATTGCTCATTATTATACAAGACTAAAAGGAAAGAACATACCTATTTCGTAATAACGTACAATTTAAAAAGTCGCAGAGCTGAGTACGTAAGTGGTTGGCCAAAGTTATCTGTGCAAAGGATAACGTTGTAAATTTTCTCTATGGTTTTCCGAATTGCGAAGAAGAGGAGATCATTTTGAACTCGAAATGTAGCGAATCTTTATAAACTGTTCTTGTTATATTAAAAAGAAAAAAGAAAAAAAGAGAAGGAAAAAATGTAGGGCATGTGAAAATATTTGTTCGCATGTAATATAGACATTCGCGTAGACATTTTTCCATTACTCGAAAATTTGTTTTAAGTTTCTTAGAATGAATTTTAAATGAACGCTGATACGACTTGAATTAATAAAATTAATAATGAATATTCGTACAAAATCATTTATATTACAATCATTTGTCTGATTCTCGAATTATAGAATCGATACAGCACAGAATCTATGGTCAGAACTTACTGATCAGTAAACATTTGAAAGAAAATTTGAACGATTCCTCGTTAAGTTCTTGAATCTATTTCATCAGAATTTATCAAAAATAATGTCGAAGAAATTTATTTGTCCACACAATTATACTATACTCTTACTTATGCAATTCGAATCTAATATTATTTAATAGTTTATTTGGGACGGCTATAGTAAGAATTATTACAATTAGAATGTAACAACGAAAAATTTTTAGTAAGAAAGGTTGTAGTCATTTGATAATCGAGTCTTTCTTTAGATACTAAAAATACAAAGAATCGAGAGAAAAAAATCATGTTTCGCGTAATCTATTCGATTTTGCGTTTGTTCATTTGATTTTCGATTTTTTCATAAAATAATAATCGTACGAATTTTTCCTAAATATCTGGATATGAGAAATCCGCGAGTCATTCATGCATAGACAGACTTACCTAAGATAGGTATTTTTAAGCGCTATTTATTTAATCTACTATACGTAATTAATTTTTTTTTTTTTTTTTTTTTTTTTCTCCATTGTAACTCCTTTAGAGAGATTTTACAAAGTCGCGACCGACTATTGTTTGTAAGTTCGGTGAGGTTAAACTTTAGTGATGGTGAATTGAAATTATCAATTTCTCTCTATATGTACAATTTTCTGCCAATAATTAAACACACACTCATTTTCCTATAAGTTTTTACATTGTTTTTCTTTCAAAAGAAATTTTTCTTTTGATTGTCTTCGCGTATTAGAAAAAGAATGTGTTCAAGTGTGTTCAGACTTTTAATCACATTATTATACACTTTACAAAATAGAATTTTCGTAACGGTTTTGTACAATAGATACTCAAATAGTACGCATATCTTATTTCCATAATTGTGCGGTACTGGCGCGAAGCGTTATTGTACTCTCTAAAGGAAGCGTATATAGGTAAATATTGGACGAAGACACTGCCAAACATTTAAGTTATAATTTAATAAACGACAAGTTAGACAATATACTGCGCTATGATACGTTAATTTTTCTTAATTAAACGTACGCTCTTGCGTTTATACGTATAAGTTTCTTTCGTTCTCCCGTTTTCTTCTTCGTTCATCGTTACGCACGAAGAACCGGAAACGAGGTGAGCTTAAGTACAACTTAAACCGTGTTCTCGTGTACGTAGAGTTATTTTCTTTTCTTTTTTCTTTCTTTTTGCTTGCGTTGTTAGAAAAAAAAAAAAAGAAAAGAAGGAAAAATGTTAATAAAATATTCGTGCATTTTTCGCACGAATGATCGAACTCGCGATCAGACTACACGAAGAGGAAGTTAACGATCCATTTTCTTTTCTCTCCTCGATCAACGTCATCGAAGTTTCGTGATCGTTTCATTGTTTCTCATATATACGTTCTATTATAGGTTACTTAGAGAGAATGATGTAAGATCGACGCTTGTATCAGTGAACGAACGTATTGATTAATCATTTAATCGGGTGTTGCGTTATTACTCATTGTATTGTTAAACTAATTTCTCCCCTACTTTTTTCATTTTGTCACGTTCTTGCGGTCTATTATCTATTATATAAGTTCCACGAAAATGAATTGATTTTCCGTTTTCACGGGGGGCCTGTTTTTCGTTGAGGTCTCCTCCAAGTATGCCAATTCCAGATCGAGTCCGATGAAAATGTGAAATGAAAAATTACGAATTTCTTTATTCGGTGAAATCGATATTTAAAATCGGACTTAGCATATAATACATCCTGTCCAATTATCCGAAGAAATTAGAAATTTCCATTGATCATTGCCAAGTCTCGTTCAAATCAACAAAATAAATCCAAAATTTCATTTCATTTCAATTTTTATATTCGATCTGGCAACAAGGCGCAACACAACAACAAATGGTTCGAAAGCGACGAAACGACAGAAACGAAATATCCCAGAGAATATCCTACGAACGAACTCCGCTTAGAACAATCATCTCCTGTACAAAAGTCAGCGTTAGCCGCGTATCGAGGCGAGGCGAATAAAACAAAAATAGCTCTTATTATGCAGAGCTTATTTCCGAGGAAATGCGTTCGATATTAGTCGATCGATTTTCGTATACGAGCACGATTCGTGTCGGATCGGCGAGAGCTCGACTCCGCGTTTCCACATCGTGAAACAACACGACGAAAAAAAAAAAAGAAAAAAAAAAACGAAGATGTACTGCCAGTATCATATGTAAATATATTCCTCCCGTCGTCCTTTCAGATACAACTACTGCCCCTCTTTCCCCCTACGGTCCCGCCTCCCCCTACCTTCCTCCCTCCCTCCCCCCTTACCCGTTTTTTAACGCAGATATTCCACGAGATACGCGAGGAATACGCATAGCTCTAATATACGTTTGTGTAAACGTTTGTAACGCGATTATTGGCGGAATATGAGGTCGTGGAGGAGATATTGTTCTTCTTCGACTCGCTTCCGAATGAATGCATCCGACCACATCCGTACTATCGTGTGCGTGGCTCTATTTAGACACACTGCTCTTTCGCGGAAAAAAAAGAAAAACTTGTTCTTTTTATCAGATCAGAGAAAAGATCGGATCAAATTTACATACCAAGTGGGTGGTCACGATTGCTTTGAACGGACCCCGTGTATTTATATTTTTAATAGATTTTTCACTCTTGAAATTATATTTTATTGTTACTGCTCAATATTGTTGATGTACAATGTCTGTTAGTCGAAGATTAACTTTGTAGCAATAATTCGAAAATAATATGTTATACGTTTGTGTGAAACGTCTATAGAGGATAGATATGTGGAATTTAAAGGAATTTAATTCAAAGTTTAGTTCTTCTTTTGTCATTTTTTTTTTTAAGAAAGTGAGATGAAAAACTGATCAACCCCAATTTTTCAAAAAAGGAAAATTCTTCATTTTAAACGTTCAAATGTGTGATTGATGATTTGAAAAGAAAAATTAGCCTTGAACGGAGCATTGATCATCTTGGTTTTTTCTAATTTGTATTTCCTAGTTCTTCTTTGGTTTTTTTTTTTGTATTCTATTAATGACCGCCCATTTAGTAAACAAAATATGGAAGAATATCTTTTCTCGACACAAATAACGATGAGCACACTTCTTTTTCATTCGATTACAACTCGTCAACTCGTCAATCATTCATATAATAATCTTTCAGGCTTTTGTTCAAGCTTTTTTTTTTTTTCCTCCGATAAAATTAAAAAAATTCGAGTGCTGGTTGCCCGAATAATTTGCCTTTCGTCGATAAATCGAGATAAAAATAAATATCAATTTTTTCCTCGTGAAACAAATAATAATCCTTGTCGCGTGTTTCGCGATGAAGATTGAATAAAAATAAAAAAAAAATAAAAAAAATGATCAACGAAAAATTATTAGCAGCTCTCGAATCAAGGGTACTTAGAATGGTCCATGTAAATATGTTTAGAGAATTTTTGTATGAGAAAATTGTTCATAATTACCGAACGTATATATTTAATAAACACAATGTTTCTAACAAGAGATAATATTTAATTTTAAGCAAACGATCATATGTATGTCTTTTCATGAACAGTTGTACAAGATGTTCTCGTTATAAATATTCTTGCATTTTTAAATATACGAAATATTCGTTAAAGTAGGCGATAGAATTTTGTGTAATCATAGGTTTAAATGTTAAGTCTAGCCAAATATATTCCAATTTCGTATTAGTGTAATATTTCACTAATTTGAATTTAAATTTAATTTAAAGTTACATTTATTTATTTTATAAAATATGTTTATTTATTCGTTTTTCGTCCCTTAAAAAAAAAAAAAATGTTGTCCGAGTGATAAATTTTCGTATTCGTTTTAGATTGTATTATGAATTCATTGAAAAGAATGATTTTTTTTCTTCTTTTATATTTTAGTTTAATTTAAACATAAAATCTTATGCCAATAGAAGCTTATTAAAAAAAAAAATCTTCAGAATTTTTATAAGAAAGTAATTAATGTCGGGGCATTAAATTCTACATTATACTCTACGTATAAAAATTCTGGAGAAGCCTTGATAAGTAGAAACTTATGGCTAAAAAAAAATAAAAAAAATAGAACCAAAAATTAATAATAATACGTTGTGATCTCATTCACTTAAATAAATAATGTAATGCTATTTGACAAATCATCGAGCAAAAAATAATATATGTATTTTCAAATATTTTTAGAAAACTTTTAGTAGTCTACAATAATATACTTTAAAAAAAATCCTTATTAGTATTATATGATACATAAAACATGTATAGTCAAAAAAGACTTTTATAATTTTTTATCATAATTTTTTATATTAAGTCTACGATAATTTATCGTAATTAAGTTCAATGTTATTTACGTTCACTTAATTTAACGAATATTACGAATATTATAAAAATTTCTTGAATTTCTCACCATCTTGTACACAGAAAAAAAAGATCGACCTGCAGAAAATACCTCAAACAACGAAAGCTCGCTCGAAAATAGGTGCCAACAAATTGCTAATAATTTTTCTGCGATATCCGATTGTAATATCATTAAGAAAAATGTCCAATTCATCGTGAAATTTGCGACTTGCGTGGAAGAAAAGGAAAGAATTTTTTTATAATTTCCTCGAGCGAAGAGATGTGACTACGAATGAATGATGAAAGTCCGAGAGAAATAAGGAGAGAATGTATGAATTTACGTGATGCGCGATCGTAACCTGTGAAAGATATCGAAGAAACGGGGATAAAAACGTAAACGAGCGATCTTTCGATATGGACGGTTCTCATTGAGAGAATATCGATCGAAATATGAATCGAATTCGAAATCGAATCATTCCGATTTTTCTCTAAAAAAAATTAATATAAATCGAATCGCTCGATAGATCGAGAGGAAGGAAATAATTAGGAAAATTTGAATTCGAAATTTCGTCTTCCTCGAGAGCCTCGATAAATGAAAAAACGAAAGTGAAAGAACGTGACGGCGGTGATTTTCCGTGTGATAATTGTGAACCGTTTCGTTCAAGGATCTCTTGGTTACGTTTTCGCTTACATTTCCATTCTTAAGGTTACTTCTGTAGCAAGATTGAGAGAGAAAAAGTGTACGAAAGAAAGAGAAAAAGTGAGTGAAAGATTGTATATACACCGCCTGCACTTTGTACGAATATTGCGATCATCGTTGTTCAGCGATCTTTTTGTTCCTTTCGTCGTTTAATAAAGTGAATTCTTCATGACCTCTTCAATTCAATGAAACGTGATCATTTTAATGTTATTAATTTACCTTCGTTTTCTATATTTTTAGAAATTCTCGATTATGACGATTCTTTTTTTTTTTTTTTTTTGCAATTTTTAAGAAAGAAATTGAACGAACGAAGTATGTTCGGGAAATTTTCAGGTTTTTTATTTTTTATTACTATAATACAATTTGATTGTTGTGTAAAATCTGTTGTAATTATATACTTAAAAAAAAAGAATGTATCTATGCTTACATCATTAAGGAATAAAACCACGGAAGCATAGCACAATAGAACAGAACAACAACCCTATTGTGAATGTTAGATTATCTTTATTATTACATCTGTTTAAAAGACATAACTTATTTATAAAAAATATGAGGATTGGGGTACCGGATGTAAAGGGAAATAAGGAAAAGATGGGGAAGGCAGGATATAATAGGATCAAACAAATCCTTAGTTTATAGAATAGTTAATACTAATAAAACTCAGTACTTTTTACAAGTTACAAAGGAATAACAAGAATCTATCAATAATTGGAAGTTTCTCTAAACTTATCATAGATAACTGTAAATTGGAGCGTGTAAACTTATCTATTCATCTCTTTCGCACTTTCTTCTTTTTTTTTTTTCTTCATTAAAAAAATCGATGCGTAGCGCAGTGTTACATTTCATTTAAATTTTGAACACAATTGACAATGATCTTTTACACTAATTACACTTAATTTAACAATCTTTGTTCAATCTTTTTACGTTGTATTTATCCATTACATCGTCTGTACTCTGAATCATACTGATTAAAAATATCAAATTCATTATATATGTAACAATATATGATCGAATACTAAATTCTATCACGCGTCATTTATTGTCTGAGCTCGTATCTGATTCTTTACAATATATTAATTAAAAAAAAAAAAAAAAGAAATATTAACATATCTCTTGATATTTTCGTCGTTCGCTATTTGGCAGACTTTTCGTGGCTTTAACAAATACAAAGGCAGTCGTGTGAAGATACACTTAATTCGTTACAAAGATTCTATGTATACATATATATATATATATTCTTTTATATATAAATAAAAAAATGTCTCTCCTTAGGAGCATTATAGGTTCGCGAAAGTATATCATAGAAAATTGCGTTGGACCCATATCTGTTCTAATGTCTTGGGAAAAAAAAATCTCCATCACACTGTTACATGTAATTCAGAATTGCATTAAGGAACATGAATCGCGTCGATCCTTCATGCAACAATTAATTACACGTTTATGCAAATATATATATATATATATATGTATATATATATATATTTTTTATATATATAATATATATATATATATATTATTTTTTTTTTCTCTGTTCTGATGATCCATATTATAATACGATAAAAAGGAAACGTTATAATACGGGAAATCGTCTTATAAAACTATCGATAATCTAGCTCCTTATATAATATAAAAAAAAAAAAAAATATATGTAAAAACAGTTTTGTACAAAATCGAGAGAAAAGACAATTACATGGGAGAAAAGTATTCGATACCACGTTACAGATGAGCGGATAGAATGGTAAAGAACAGAACGTGAATAGAAAGATGTATATAAGTATATTTACAAATTTTCTGTTTAAAGAAAAGCGAACGAGATAAACAAGATTCAAGAGGGAAAAAAACATGATTATTGTACCGCTATAAATTCGCGTCACTGGACATATTGCAGAAGCACGAAACAAGGTTCGTCTTCCTCGATATACCGACGATAATTGTTTCTTTTCTCTCGTAACAATCTACGGATTAATACCTAATTCTATTATGCGTACATACCACCAAATCTGGTTACGCCGCCGATCACGCATTTTTTTTCATTTTCTAGAAGAAAACTCTCTCGTTTTGGCTTTGGCAGATGAGAGATCAGCGAATCGTCTTACCGCCCGTCTTAATCAGCTTAATTTTATTTTAAACAATAATTACGCTAGGAAACTCGTTAGTACAATAAACGATCCGATAGATAGCGTATACAAGATGTATCCGCGAATTTGACTGATCTTTCTTGATTCGAATGTTAA